CTCCTGCCTGTCCTCGAGGTGCACCTGGAGAAGAGAGAGACATGGGAGGGAGCGAAAGCCCAGGGCCAGCTCTCTTTAGCCTCTCTTCCCGCCACACCCTGCACCCCACCGCCCTCGGGAGCCAAGGGGCGGTGCCAGAAACTGGTGCAGAAGACCAGGGACTGGGGCAACCAGCTCAGCCGGCCACCAGAGGTGCCAACCTGAGGGGGTCGCGGAAAGAAGAGCTAAGAGAATCTGGAGAGAATCCCTGCGAATTGAGAATCTGGGGAGCGGAGGTAAGACCTGAGAGGGCTGAGGCAGTCGGTCCTGTAGGAGGCGGCTTTGGGGCTTTGGGTCATTACCTAGAGCGCAACCCTACAGAAAGGATGTGTCTCTGCGGTAAACCTCCAGGGAGCCCGCACCAACGCAGGCCACACAGGTGCGCGTTTTGGAGACTGAGCAGCCTGCGCTTGTCTGTTGCAGGTCCTGGTTCCTCCGAGTCCCCAGCGCTCCGGCGGCTGCAGTCAGATCCTGCAGGGCGCTGGAGAAACCAGTTCCGCCCAAGGCCCTGCGGGACGCCCAGCTCCCCGCGCGCAGGGAGTTCCCAGAGCCCCCACCTCACCTTGGCAGCCAGGAGACATTTCCCAACTCGCAGCTACATCCGAGTGCAGCGCCTGCACCGGAGCATGGAGAACGCCACCGGGCCCCTGAGCGCGCGAATGCATCGGACCCGGGCGCCATGCGGCTGCCTCCGCTGGCGTTGCAGGCGGTGACCCTGGCCCTGGTGCCTCTCGTGTGCGCCGTGGGCGTGACAGGCAACGCCATGGTGGTCCTGGTGGTGGTCCGGAGCAGACACATGGTCACACCCACCAACTGTTACCTGGTAAGCCTGGCTGCTGCAGACTTGCTGGTGCTCCTGGCAGCCGGAGTGCCCACTGTGGCCGAGGTAGTGTCCGCTCGGGTTTGGATCTTGGGCCACGTGGGCTGCTGGGGCATCACCTACCTGCAGTACGTTGGCATCAACGCTTCCGCTGGCTCCATCACTGCGTTCACTGTGGAGCGCTACCTCGCCGTCTGCCGTCCACTGCGCGCCCAGGCGCTGTGCACCGTGGCGCGAGCGAAGCGCATCACTGCACTTTGTGGCTGGGCACCGGCGCCTACTGTGTGCTCTGGCTCTTCCTGGTGGACACGCGCGAAGCCACGTACGCTGATGGCGTGCAGGTGCAGTGTGACTACCGCGTGTCGAGCTCTCTCTACCTGCCCATCTACTTTCTGGACTTCGCGCTCTTCTATGCGCTGCCCCTGGGCTTGGCCACTGTGCTCTGTGCGCTGGTCACGCGCGTCCTCTTCTTCGGGCCGCTGCCCCTTGGCGGCTCGGGGTGCGTAGGCTCTGTCCACTAGAGAGGCCCCACCGGCCAAGCTCACTTCAGCTGTAGGGCCAGGAAAGGCGCCCTCAACTCCCGGAAGCAGGTAGGGACCTCGGTCCTCCCCCCATCCTTGAATTTGACCCTGCAGAAGGCTCCGTGTAAGCTGAGTCTTTCCGGAGTTCAGACTCCTAAGGTTCAAATCCTGCTGTGTGGCTTCCTCAACTTGCGTGTTTAGAGACATTTCTTTGCCTGTC